GTGTAGAAACAGGATCAGATGAACATCTTAATGAAGTCAGCCAAATGGATATACCAATTCAGAGCTTTTTGGCACTTTTATCCACTTAAGACAAAAGATTGTGCCATACCAACATCAGAATCCTTTCAACGCGAGTTTGATATCCACCTTCAGCAAAAAAAAAACGTAACGCGGCACTCAACTTGGTAATCGTTGGAATTCCACACTTGTTTTTCATTATAGGAGTATGTTGCGCCAAAAATTCCAACAAGTATTGGAATGCTGGTTCGCTACCCGGTAGTATTTTTTGAATCTGTTGGGAAGTTCATATCAGATGTTTCAATTATTTTTAACTTTTATGCACTTACAATGATTGTGGCACTTCAAGATGATTGGAACTATCTCGCAATTGCCTTCTTGACAATCTTGTAGAAGTTCTTTGTTGCTCTCTGGAAGTAGCAACATCTTTAAATATGCTCTAAGTATAATACTATTCATTTTTTTGGTTTCAATTCTTTATTTCTTTCTAATTATTTCGTACAACACAAACACATTAAATTTGCGCAAACAAATAAGGATACAAGAAGTATGAAAAAGACCCACAGTTGATTGCCATAATCGAAAAATTTTACTCCCATATTTTCAACGATTGGAGGATTTTTCTCTCGAGAGAAATGCTTTCCGTAGGAATAGAATTTCTCCCACATTTTGACGATTGGGCTGATTATTGCAAAAGAGAGTAAAACGCCGGACTTACTGAGTAAATTTTTCTGGAGAAATAACCAGCCAAAGCTATTATAATTTAATTAACATTATCTTAAATTCGAAACTACAGTTCCCGTTTTTTGCTCTTCCCTGTCCATACAGAACAAGGGGAGCGAGAGAATAAGGCTGAATAACATAAAAGGGAAGAGCGAACAATTGATGTCCAGAATAAGGTATATATACTAAGAAAATTACAGTTTAAACGACATTGAAATGTCATACAGTAATCCCATTTTCATCATATTCTATGCGCACTATACTTTACAATTGAATACAATGCAGGAAATAGAAAAACTCGACAACTTCCAAATGCTATTTACAATTTTTGTACATATCGATAGGGGAGGAAACAGCCAAAAACACATTATCATGTAATAGTGCCTACCCACCTATTTATATATAAACGATTTGGAAGCAATGTTGTGTTCAACTTCATTCATATTGGAATAAAAAACAGTGTTTGCGTTTTAAAATATATTTTCTTAAAAAAAATCAAGTCAAAGAATGTTGAAAAATTATAATAATTAGGAAAAATGAAATTCTGTTTTGTTTTTTTCTGTATTTTCTGCTGCGGTATATGAAGTTAATATGAGAAGAAATAAAAAATACAATAAAATGGATGAATATTTTGTCGACGGTTTACACAGTAATATAAAATGGGCTGATTTGTTTATTTGTGAAAGGAGAATGAGGGGTAAGGGAATATTTTAATTTGTTAATAAATGTGTTGTAATTGATCATATATTATGTGTATTTATATATTTCATTAAAATATAACGTTAAATTTAAAACGTAATCATATAGAATAAATTTGTTTAATAATTTAAAGAAATTGTTTTACAATTAACAGTCAGTGTTGGCTTTCATTTAAATTTAATTAATTCTGGTTAATTTTAAAATTTAGTTTAATGTTTACAAGTTATTCATATTTGTTTCTTTCATTATGAAATTAATGCTTACATCTCTTTATTTTACGTTACTTTTTTTTTAAATACGATGTTAAAATTTTTGTTCTATAATATAGTTTGTTGTAGAAAAAAAATTAAATAAAGGCAACGAAAAATTTAAAAATTGTTTGAATAAAACATTTTTGTTTTTTAAATCTAATGTATGGTTAATGTAAAAACAAAAAAAGAAAGTATTTTTATGAAATATATAACGATGGTAGGTTTTCAGGTGTTGTGAGGCTAAACATGTATTATTTATATGTTATTTTAACTACGTTTTATATTAGATTTTACTTTAAAGGATTTAATATGTGTATATTTATTTTGTGTTTTTCTTTGTTATTTTAATATTATACTTATAACTTTTTTTTAAAACTTATTCCATTATCATTTTGTTTACTTTTTCCATTTTTGTTGTTTTTTTTTTTTTTTTTTTTTTTTTGTTTATAATAATATAGGGTAAATATATAGATTGTATGTGTTATATATAGAATGGTACACATATGGAGTAATGCATATAATATGTATATAAACTATTTACTTTATCTTCTTAATTAGTTTTTCTAATAAATGTTCCATTTCTTTTTTTTAATATATGTTGCTTCCTACTGTTTTCTGCAATGTTCTGTTCAAAAGTCGATTCAAACTTGCGCAGGTGTTAATAAAATAATTCAGTGCTGTTGCTGTATTCTCGAGTTGCTGTGTGTAATACCCAAGAAGATTTAAATAAAAACTGACAAAATTGTAATGTAGTAGCTGCATTTGTCTAAATTAAAGGAAACTGGACTGTTCAAACAACAGGAAATTAAGTTTATACGTACATTTTCAATATTATGATTGCATACTAAAACAAAATAACAAATTCACACAATTAATTTTCGAATATAAATTCTAATAAATAAAATATGCGAACTAAACTATTACCATATGAAAAAATATACAAATTGATACTGCTTTAATTCCACTTTTGAACTATGTCGACAATTTTTTAGCAACAGTAATTAATCAACAACAAAAATCTAAAGACAACAGCGTTGTGAATAAATCAACCAAAAATTTCACAAAAAATGTTATAGTTTAATTTGCGGTTATTAAAAAGGTTTTGATTTTTTCGAATTTAAATGCGCGTTACGATTTATACTCATCATTACCACAATTTTAACTTATTTTTTTCTGTCGTTATTTAAATAATCAAATTGTTTAAATTATATTTGCTATTGTGTTGATTTTTATGTTTTCTTTTTCTTTATACAACTCTTGATAAAAAAAAAATTTAATGTAAATAAATAATTTGAAAAAATAAAAAAAATTTTTGTAATTAGTGCATATTTTATGTGTAACCAACTTTTCATATTTTAATTACGACACTTCCGTGTAACACAGATGGTAATATCCTTTCATTACATAAATTAAAGAAAGTAAATTTACTTTACCAAAAGGTAGAGAACAATGAAACAAAGAACAAGCATGCCTAAAGACTATTTGTATGTATGTAAAACGTTTGTGTTTCATCTTCTTCTGTTTATTAATAATTAAAATATTATGTTATAATATACTACAATTCACCAATGAAAAAATTATAACATAAAAGTATATATTTAAAAAAAATTATAAAACATGGGGTAAATTTATAAAACGCCTTAAGATCTGATGGGGGATAGGTAAAATATGGGGTAGTTGTAAATCACGACAACGATGACGTGCTCAGTTTGCTTACTTTTTTGATTTTTTCGATTTTCCGTCTTTAATGCTATTTGTAGTTTCCATTATACTTTAATATGTACGTTGTTATTGTATGTTTTAATTTATATTTATAAATATTTAATTTTAAATATTAACCTTTAAACTATATATGCAAATGTCTAACTGTATGGGTTGTTCTTTAACTATATAATGAATATGTCTGTGGTAGTAGGTAAATTTAAATGTAAATTTTAAAAGTTAATTCATTTCTAGGTCTAATAGTTTTACATGCAGACACATTGTTTTTGCAATTAACATTAAAGTTTAATCATAAAAAAAAAATTATGAGAACATTTTACTTCGAAATTAAACATAAAAATTCATATATAAAACTTATACACGTCCTGCTGCTAGGTTCTCGTACAAACAAAGTAACTGAACAAAGAAGAGAGAAATCGTCGAATCTAATTCCATTTCAGCAAGCCACAAAGCACAATAGCTGCCAAAGAAAACAAAATCAATGTAATGAGCAATACATATATATGAATATGAATATTCATCAGATAGTTTAGTATCCATGTTATACTCTTTGTGTACAACTGGCAACAAACTGATACTCTCATTTGTCATTACATTCTTCATTCATCTTTTTCGCACACAGTTTGTTTGTTTGTGACCGAATAGCTTTTCTTTTTGAAAGGCTAAGCTATAGCGATGCCTTAGATGGGATCCTAACTACTAACAACATTCCTCTTTCTGTTCAGGGACATGTCTTCGCGCGTAAAAAAGAGTAATAGTAATTATACAGTAAAAATAGTAATTCTAAAGTCTTCTCTTTAAACCCCTATTTTAAGTGTTGTTTGTTTCTTTTTTAACCTAAACTTTCTTTTGTATCTTTTTTTGTTTTCAGTTTACTTTTTTCGTTTCTATTACATATTGTTTTGTTGTTGTTTTTAAGTTGGTTTACATCATAATTAACTAATTTGTTTCGTACTATTAATTATTTATATTATATATATTATTATTAATTACTTCTTTAATTTACTCTCGTTTCTGAAAATTCTTTTTTAAGAGCTTTATAGTAATATTGTTTAAGTGTTGTTGTTTTTGTTCTTTTTTTAACATACATATATAATTGGTTGGTTGTAATCACCTGATGGTATAAATGGTTTAGTACTTTTATGAATATCCGTTGCGTTTTTACTTTTAATATATATTTATGTATAAATATATATGTATGTATATAATCGGTTCCAAGTTTCATATATGCATATTTATATATAGTTCTGCAATATTATTTATGAACTGTTTATCATTAATTATTAATTAGTTATTAATTATTGTATTATACGTAAAAATAATATTTAACAACTGAATTGTACTGTACGAAACAGACGACGCGCAATAGCTGTAAATGAATGTCCTGTTTTTATTGATGTATATTTGTTTGTAAGTTGCTGCGGCTATAACTTGATCTTAATGCATGGGCATGGTGGTGGCTATGATGATGGTGGTTAGTATTTACTTTTTTCCGATGAAGGTTCTTCCAATCAATCCGGTACTACTGTTGTCAATGTATTTGGGTAAAAGTATATTTAAACTCGAATTCTCAATAGTTGTTTGAAACATTTTTGATGTTGGAAGTGAATAACAGCATCAGCTTTTTCATTATGCAACAGGTAGGCGCAAACATTTTAATTTTTATTATGAAACATTTTTAGACAGCTTGTGAGGCAGCATAGGGGGGCTGAGTGGAACTGTCATTTCCATATGCTGATCGTGGACCCGCTCCATAATTGGAGGCACCACCCTCTTGCTTAACATAGTTGCTGTAGTCATAATCATAACCAGACCCATAACCACCATAATCGTATTCAGAACCAGATTTAGAAGCGGAATTTCCTGGTCCTGTACGTGGCATACCTCCGACGGGTCCAGTTGTTGATGGACCACCAGCTGCCCAAGTTTGAGCTCTGGAATACATATCAGTAGCTGTGCCAGCACCCGCTCCAGGTGCTCCGGTGGGCCCGGCCGAGTTCGGTGGCATATTCCAGGCATTCCAACTGCCGCCGCCAGATGGTCCCGAGGGACCACCAGTTGATGTTGAGTTGTACATATCATAGCCCCCGTAACCCTGAGTTTGCTGGGGTCCAGCATAGTTAGACCATTGTGGCGGTGGTCCTTGGGGTCCTGGTGGAGCACCCCATCCTTGATAGGAACCAGGGCCACTGTTACCATAACCATAACCACCCTGTTGTGGCGATGTTCCCCATCCTTGATATCCAGGCATCATGTTAGGTGCTCCCAATGGCATATTCAAAGGTGGTCCTCCCATTTGTCCATTTTGTCCTTGCATCATATTAATAGGAGCATGGGGTGGACCCCAGTGACTGGGGTCATTGCTGAGCTTGCCGTAAGCGCCACCTACAGAACTGTTGTTGGCATTCTGTGAGTTTGATCCATCACGTGGTTCAGCTTTTTTAATTTCAACCTGAATAACAATTGTACACAAAAACCAGAATTAGGAAATTGAAATATAAAAAATATTCGGCTTATTGCTATGTTAACCTCACATCATGCTTCTTTAATTACACCCCTCATTTATTTATATTGTAATTTCTATCGAGACGATTGTCTTCGACGACGATTTTGATTGATATTAATTTTTTATGTATATAATTGATAATAATTTTATATATTTCTTACCTGTTTGCCATTAAGATTGATGTAACGTTCATTGGTAACATGTTCGACAGATGATTCTTCCTCAAACGATAGGAAACCGAAACCGCGTGATTTCTTTTTCTCTTGATCGTACATAATAACAACTTCAGTTACTTTGCCATACCGGCCAAAGAATGTACGCAAATCAGTTTCTGTGACATTAGAGGGTAAACCGCCAAGGAATACCTTGAAACCACCGCCTTTCTTGGGCTTCTGCAATGTACGTGGATTACATGGTTTAGGGTCGATTGTACGCCCGTCTAAAGTGTGGGGTCCACTTTGCAGAACATGTTGAACATTAGCCGGATCGGCAAATGTAACAAAACCGAAACCGCGTGAACGACCACTCTCATTATTTTTCATTACTACGCAATCGATAATTTCGCCAAAACGACAGAAGTAACGTGAAAGATTCTCTTGTGTGGTTTCCCAAGAAAGACCACCAACGAAAAGTTTGCCCCTCTCATCTTCCTCCATGGTTTTCTGAGGACTCTTCTTAATTGACGTAATTTTGAAACCAAGATTTTTTTGGAGAACCTTCCGCTCAAGGAGTACTATTGTACAAAATGTTGTGGATGATGTTTTGTTATGTTTTTACCACTATAGTTATGTTTGGTTGTGTCCTGCAAGAGAAATTTAAATATATATCATTAAATTAAAGAAAAACAATTAACATCAATTTAGAAATTTCATTTTCTTTATTATTACGGGTTAATACAGTTTCATGGCATAATTATACAAGGTGGTCTCATGCAGTCATATGTTTCCATTTTTTCATACATTTGCCTTTGACTGTATTAGATCAAATTAAAGAACTTGAAGCCTTTTCTATTATGCAAAATATGTTGTTGTGGGAGCAACACTATTGTCTTTTTTAACAAAATGTGTATCGTTCTCTGGTGTTCTTAATACACACCAGTGTGTGGTGAATTTATTTAACTGAGAAATGTAAAATACCGGTATGTAAATCATTCATAAATTACAACAATAAATCACCACAACGAAAATTTTTATTTTGCTTTTGATTTCCAAATAAGGCCAAGCTCTATGCGTAGAGGTGCCATATTATGCATCTTATGTCTTATTTTGGCGAACAATACATACATCGATATACAAGATATAGAATAACAAACTACTAGGAAATTTTTGATGAAACGTTTTTTGGGACTTTGGACAAATTAAAAAAAAAAAAATATCGATTACTGACTGTTGTTCAACAACCATAACACTTTGTGTGAAGTGAAGTTTTAAAATAACAATCTTATAGAAAATTTGATCATCAAGTTTCAGTGATATTTTAAATAGTTAAAAACCATTTTCATATTGTTAGGAAAATGTGCAGGTGGTGACCCAATATGTTTCCGATTGAGATAGAGCTTTGTACAGTGTACTTTATGAAGTCTAGAATGACTAGTATTGAGTTTTACCAAAATCGATTTAGAGACATACCTCATTTTATCTAAAAATTGCACCAAATACCCATGAACGTATCAAATTGAGCCCATATATATAGCATATAGCATCTATGTATTGTGCATTAAATATGCAACGTTTGAAATTTTGAACAATGCGTTGTGCTCCAGGATACCGTTGTTCGATTTCAAAAAATAAAACACCAAAGATCCTAAGTGTGTTTGAATGGCATGAGATGTTGCTTAGGTTTAAGAATGGCATGTGTATGGATTGTAAGAGCACGTTTAGACTACTAAACTCACTTGATCTCATATGTCAATTCCATAGGGTATACGTTACACCTTAAACATGTTCACAAATCCAGTGGATTATATTTGACGTATACGCTATGAGAAATTGACATTTGGGATCGAGTGGATTTCGTAAATCTAAACACAGCATAAGCAAACGAGAATCTAGCCAAAGGGCCAAGAGCGATCCACTAATTTCTGCGTATTTATTACATTTCATAAATACAATTCTTACCACTTCTAAATTTCCATCAGATTGAAAACTTAGACTTGTTCTTAACCAACTTCTTCAATGTCTAAAATTCTTGAAAATATTATGAAAAGTCGAATATTGGAACATTATCAACTATTTTCTTTTTTTAGCCCATATCAATTTGTTTTTGGATCTAACTACAGCACATCTGCATTAACCCTTTCAGTGTTTTTGTCGAATATATTCGACATTTAAAAGTACTCTCTTTCTTTGCGATGTACCGTTACTATAGGTGTTTTTATTTTTGCTGAAAGACAGACGAAACAGGCCGAGGGTTAAAATGACAGTTGCTTTTTTCTAAACTATGTCCCTTTATATAATTTTAAATACAAAATTTTAGATCCCATTTTTTTTTTTTATTTTTTTTGACACTGAAAGGGTTAATTACTTTGTCTGACTCTATCAGAAAAAAGTTGGATGACAATGTAAGCTGTTTAATGGGGTCGTTGGATATAACGAAACCTTTTCATCATATAAACCACAATATTTTAATAGCTAATCTACGCGATAATTTTAATTTTTCAAAAACGGTATGCAAATTAAATTTCTATTATTTATTTGATCGGCGACAATATGTGCCTGCAAACTGTTTCTGCTCTAGTGTTGGATGTGTGACATCGGGTGTACCACAAGGTTCAGTTTTGGGACTCATATTTTTTCATTCTTATATCATTCGTCTTTGCTGATGACATTCTTCTATTATTTGAATCTGGTTCTTCTGAATATAGCATTAATTCCCACTTATATAAATATCGTTAGCTAAAATGCAAAAAGGCGTAACTAACAAAAGCATAATTGTTTAGGAGAAGTAAAAAAAACAGTTTTGAATGAAAACTATAAACATGTCAAATGAAGATTTCTCAAAGTTCACTTTTAATATAATATAATAAAATATATAATAAACAATAATTTTTTTTAACAAATTTAGTTTTTGAGTTTAATGACAGTCATAACAATTAACTAAAAATTTGAATTTTTTGTTAGTTACGCTTTTTGCATTTATCAAATAAACCCAATTGTAGTTACGTCTTTTTTTTTTTTTGTTAATAGAATCACATTTGTCAACACATGTAGTTTATTGACAATCACAATATTCATTCAAAAAGTCAATTTTCAATTTTTTGTTAGTTACGCCTTTTTGCATTTTAGTTAACGATATATCTAATCTAATGGTTCGCAATCAACTTTAAATAAATCCGTTTAAAACAAAATGTATAATTTTCCATTCCAGAAATCGTCAGATAATTTACCCTGCACTGTATTTTAATAATGTTCGAATTGAATTTATTGATTCCCTGAAATGTCTTGAAGTTATACTGGACTCCAATCTTAATTTTAGCAAGTCATATATACCCCCAAGATTTGTGAAGATTCGACTGGCTTTTCCCTTAATGATGACATTAATTGATTACCGGTATAGAAATTTATTCAGGAACTTGGTCATATAATATTGATAAACTAGAAAGAATATTCAGAAAAAGTATACGATATGTTTACTCTTTGCATATATATGATCATGTTAGTGCAATTGAGTATTCTTATGCATTTTTAGGTTGTACCTTTAGAGATTATCTTTGCCAAAGAATAGTATTGCACTTTCATAAAGTTATAAGAAACCCCAAAAACCTGAAATGTTATCAAATTCTTTTTCTTTTATTCGTTCTACGCGTAATATTCAAATCGATATTCCTTTGGTTCACTCTTCAATTTATGAACATTCATATCTTGTTAGAGTCTATGGCTTTTGGAACTATATCTTCCCAACAGTCTTTAAATATTTTCATACTCTTATCATATATTTAAGCTAAAACTATATGGTTATCCCATGATTAAAAAAAAATAATTATATACAATATTCATATGGCTGGGGAGCCACTTATAAATATTATATTTTGATTTAATTTCTTTTAGATTAAGAATCTATTCTATCAATACATGTATAATAGGCCTCTCAGGCTTCCTTTGTATTGATATTATAAATAAATAAAAAAAATAATAATTTAAGATCAATTGCTTCACAGAACCATAATTATATACAATTTGTTGAACATTGATTAAAGATGTGAAAACTGCGGCTGGATATATATTCGTTTTCCCCGATATGAAACCGGTTTTTAATCATTGCTCGTTAGAATGTGTGTTAAAGAAGAAAACATTTGAAGAACTACGTGGCGGCGAACAGTCCAAAGCAAAGCAAACAAAATAACATAAATATGGCAACAATAAACAATCCACCACACGTTGTTTTTTCTTCTTTTGTTGGAGAATCTCACACAACGAAACATGCACACAAAAAAACAAAATGGATGACAGCCGGGCAATGTTGAGAAAGACGAAGAAACAGAAATTAATTATAAAAAAATATTGTACTGTATAATGCAATTAACAATTTTATACACAAATATTTGGATAAAGATCAATTCCCTTCTTCTTCTTTTGACATGTTATCAAATCCATATAAATATAAAAGAAAATACTATATATTCGCCATTTCGTGTTTGTACGACGTACGTACAAACACATTAACGCACGCACATACACATGCATTATTTCTCCACCGTTCGTTGTTGTGTTAACCAAGACAACATATTTACGCAGTACGTTTTTCTTTCCAATATAGGTACATACATATTTTTCTGTCGTTTTGACTCTATAAAACAACAAATAGCCATTGAGCAGAGTGTGAAAGGAACCATTTAATTCAAAAACAAGAAGTATTTGTGGTGGAAAAAATAGAAATAGTTCATACGATGCAAGTGGCTGCCGCACTGTAATAATTTTGGTAAAACATGCAGTGCAACCTCATTGCGGCGTGGTTCCTAGTTCGCGCTTCTTTATGTTGAACAAAGTTTGCAAACACTGCTGCTGCTGCTTCTTGCTATTTGTGTTGTATGTATTTGCTAATTTTTCTTTATACAACAGCAGTGACGACAATATGACGACCAGTAGATTGGTGTACCACCAATGATGTTGTGTGTAAACCAACAACCAGTATATGATTGTTATACATACGTATATTTTTTTGTATGTATAAAAAATAAAAAGAAAATTTCACTTTCCAAAAAAAAAAAAAAAAATGAGGTTGAAGATTTAGTTAACTATTTTCTGCGGATATGCATTCAAAATGTCATGTCCAATATGGTATTTTGTGCATAATCCATGTGTTTTTCTTCTCGAAAATTTTCAGTTGTTTTTTTTTTTAAAGAAGCCATATTTATGTATCACTCACAACCACATTTTTAACTAATTTTGTCTACGTTGTTGTTAATAAGGAACCACATCACATTTCACGAGCCACACAATATCTACCTTAAATTTGTGAATACACAAAATATAAGATTGTAATTTCACGTATCCATTTGACCTAAAACGACGACCGAGATTCCGTGCGGTCGTCGATCGGTTTTGATGAAATTGTTTTTGTCTGATTTTTTAGTTATGTAAATTAATATGTATAATAAAGAAAAAAAAATGTTTTTATGTCTCACCGCTTTCGCCAGGTGTTCGTCTGAGGAAATCTTAAAAAATTTCGCACTGCAAATTCACTAAATTTAAGTTTTTCCTTAAAAAACTAGCTTATAAATAATTTTTATGAGTTGACGATATAACCTAACTTAACCATGATAAAATATGAATTTCGTCGACAAATGCTTTGTAGCTGCTGACAGCAAAGGTGAATATATATATTGTTGTGGTGAATACTAGATATCAATAACCGGTAATCATATCCGCCCACAGTCTACAACGTCAACCTAAATACCAGCATTGGAAATGAATGAAAAAAAGAGTGTTTATAACGTTTAGATTGCAACATCTCTATTTGATTTATTTATTTGACATATATGCAAAGGAATTGACAATTAAAACCCACTGGGTTAACGAAATCCTGTTAAATGTAAACGTATTATAATAATGTAAAGTAGCAGCAAGTGTTGTTGAAAATCTATCAAATTGTAATTTTTATCGCTTCCACATCTTTCCTGTAATTCAGTCATCCTTTCCATTTTAATTTGGAACACATCTATAAATTTCAAATAGTTTGAAAAATAAATTCCATGAAATGTTATGCATGTCGATTGGCATATATATTTTTTTATAAATTTTAAATGTATATTTTCTAAAGATGTTAAGCACTTTAAGATGGATAATTTCATTCATAATTGCATATAAATATACATGCTATGTACAGATATACTTTAACTTTTTGCGGTCAATAAAATGCAATGTATTAATATCTAAACTTTTACCCACATTGTTCTTAAGCTATAAATACAGATGCTACAACTAATGATAGGGCAGCTTAATTTGAATAACAAAAACAAACAACAAAATAAATAAATAAAAATGCGAAAAATTAATGAAAGGTTATTATTTCTTTTAAAAATCCAGTAGGGTATACCATGGTATAATTATTACAAGATTGAAAAAATGTCAAAGAAAACACAAACACTTGTTGCGTATATTTATATTATTTTTGGCAGAAGAGGCCACACGTGCATAGTTACTTTTTTTGTTATTCACCTCAAGCTGCCCTACTTTGTATTATTGTACCATGGGGTATACCAATGGTACAATTATAAAAGGTAACAACAAATCCCAGCTGATTTGATTCCAACGTAATACTAGTGTCAATATGAATTTGACAAATTATGTTTTTAAAAATCACCCAACTGGAAAATTGGGAACGCATACAATTTGCAATTGTTCTTTATTAATGTGCTCCCGTATTCAATTTACTTAATCTGCCTGCTGGGAAAGTTTGAGGAAGCAAATCTTTCTTGAAGGAATAACTCGCTATTCCCAGCATTGTCATATGTGTTACACATATATATGGCAATGGCTCAATTAAAGGAAAGGTGTGGAAGCGATAGAAATATAAATTTGATAAATTTTCATTCATGTTTTTCAATTTTTATTTTGAGGATTCGAAAATATTCCATTTTCAAAATAAAAATAATTTGATGATAATTTGTTCGTTTGTTTACATTTTTCTGTCAAATGAGTTGACACTAGTAGAACTTACAACAACAAATTTCCATGTGGTTGTTGTATCGTTTTTTGTACAACAACACTTGCTGTTACCTTTTATTATTATACCATGGGGTATACCATGAAATATTTAGTTCATCGATAACAAAGTAATTACTCCAGAAGGACGCGAAATATATATATATATATATATATTTCAATTTGTTTTGAATTTATTTGATATAGTATTCTAAACAATACATACACAAAATATGTATTTTTATTTGATGGAACAAGCCAACTTGAGAAAAATTTGTAATCAGTTGGTAGGTATGCCCTACCTTGTAATAATTATACCATGGAAATAACTAAATCTATAATATGTCCTTATTTATATTAGGCGAGTTTACTTGCGGCAATTCTTATCGTTCTCTTTTGAACTTGCTTCATGCGACTATACAAGGCAATTCGGTTTCCAAAATATTTTTTTATTTGTTGTTTTTTTTTCACATTTAAATATATATAAAATGTCAACAAATACGAAATTCAAAAACGAATTGCCAGAAAATTATCGGTACGGGCAAATTTGTTTTCATTTCTATTCCCCTTGCCCCTCTCTCCTACAAAAAAAGACTTGCCGCAAGTAAACTCGCCTAATCTAAATTGGGACTATATTCTTTAAAAAAATTATATTTTGGAATCCTCCTATCAAATTTATATTTCTATGGGTTCCACATCTTTGAGCAAATGCTGGAAATTGCGAGTTATTCTATAAAGAATGATTTGGTGTCTTCATAGGCTACGTTTAGACTACTAAATCCACTCGATCTCAGATCTTAATTCCATTACGTATACGTCACGTTAATGCTGTTCACAAATCTAGTGGATTATATTTGACGTATAAGCAATGAAATTGACATTTGAGATCGAGTGTATTTCGTATATCTAAACGTACCTTTAAAATTTCCCAGCAGGCAGATTGAGTAAATTGAATACGGTAGGACATTTAAGAGCACTACCTAGAATTGAACTTGCTTGTTCGAAGTTATTGACAACAAAAGTAAAACTCATGTATTTGTATGAATACGCCGACGTACGAATTTTCAAGGTTGAAAAAATCAACTATGACAGAACGTATTTTTGTCGTACAAAAACATTTTGCCATAGTGGGGAAGTTAAATATATTATGGTATAACTATTACAAGGTAGGGCACAGCTACCAACTGATTACAATTTTTTCTCAAGGTGGCTTGTTCAATCAAATCAAAATACATATTTGGTCTGTTCCCGTACTGCAAGAATCTACCCTATTTTACTATTTTATTCGATGTCATAAAAGAAAATTCGTTATCGAAGTAAAAATAGTAGATTCTTGCAGTACGGGAACAGACCAATTTTGTGTTTTGAATACAATGTCAAATAAATTCAAAACAAATTGAAATATATTCAAGTTTAATTGAAATGAAAATGATTTTTTATCACGTTCGTCTGAAAGTAATTACTTTGTTATGGATGAAACAAACATTTTATGGTATTCCCTACTGGATTTTGGGAAGAAATCATTCATTCATTTCATTCGCGTTTTTAGTTTTGTGTTGAATAAATGTCAAATAAACACAAACACTTGTTGCGTATATTTATTTTATTTTTGGCAGAAGAGGCCACACGTGAATAGTTGTTTTCAAGGTGTATTTAATAAGGTGTAAGTGACAATCACATGGTTTCAAACTTTTTTCATTATTGTTTGTAAAGTAAACTGTCAAAAACATTTTTAATATTACATTTCGGCTTTTTAAATTATAAAAATTCAAAAATTATACGGTCAACACAATTTCCATAATTTAGTCTTTGGCCGTGGATTTATGCACTTCAATTTTCTTTAAGATGACAAGATTTGAAGCCACTCCACAGAAAAAATAGATTTTAATCCACAATATACACAACATCACAAGGAGCCATGGGTTACATGTGGGAAACTTAAAATTAATCGCGACCAGGTCTTAAACTTTATTTTTCACAGACCTAAAACCGCCAATAACCCAAGAATACACGAATTCATTAATTATTATTCCTCAAAGAATTAATCATTGTTTTTGTTTATTTTTGTCAAAAACTTATTGTCAGCATGGCAATTTAATTTCTATAACAACAATGCTGTTTTTGTAAAATATTTGTTGTTGTATCTGATTCATACACCTTATTAAATACACCTTGGTTGCTTTTTTGTTATTCACCTCAAGCTGCCCTACCTTGTATTATTGTACCATGGTTATAATAAAGAATAATTTCAGATTTTATGCGTACCAAATCTTCCAGTTGGGTCATTTTTAAAAACATAATTTGTCATATTCACACTGACACGAGTATTACGTTCGAATCAAATCAGCTGTGTTTTGATGTTACGTTCTATAATTGTACCATGGGCAAAGGTCATCCAAAAGCTATAATTCCATTGTGATTGAATTCAAAATAGAAAGAATTTGACAGCACAAGGGCGTATCAGCTGTTTGCTTTGCCCGCGTATGCATTCACCATGGTTTGGTGTGTCTTTGTTTTATAATGTCACATCTACCGGTGATTTTGAGGCGCTTTGTTTACCTTTCGAAATGGCCTCAAAGAATTAATTTGCATAATTGTGGACAGAACAGAGGCTTAAGCACGGGAAAAAGTTATGTTTTCGATAAAATGTGAAAGTTCCATTGCGACAGGTAATGAGCGCCTATGAGAAGGAAAGGGCCATAATCGATTGCAAAAGGGTCATAAATGTTTTTAGAACCACTTGTAATGTGATTACGCAAGTTCCGGCCAGCGTTTGTGATGGCTTGCAAATTAAGGGACTGAAAACAGTGGATTTTGAAATACTTGAGGCGGGATATGATCCTATACTCAATGTCTTACAATTTCCGTTGAAAAGTGTGGCGAATGTAGTCGTTGGTGAAAAATTATTCCATTTGAAAAATGGTTTGGAGGTAACACACCAAAATGAAAATATATCTGGAATGTTACTATACGAACAAGGATCTAATCAGAAAGCCATTGTCGTTACAAATGTGTTAGATTTCTTAGTACTAATAGCTCATCGCTTAGAATCATGTAAGTATATTGTCTCCACCATTGAATTAAATCAGATATTTTATATGCTATTTCAAACGTGTATATGATATGCTTTAAATTACTATCATTCTTATTAATGTAAATATTATTTTTCTTCATCTAGATAGCATTGTTTGCCTTCCATATGGACTCAAAACATTACCTCAAGAATGTTTACCGGCATTAGAAAAGTATAGAGAATTAATTCTTTGGTTTAAATGTGATTCGCTAGATTGGGATGCTGCCAAGACATTTTCCAAAAAACTTGACGAAAAACGATGTCTTTTGATAAGGCCGACCGACACGGAGCCCAGTCCATTTGAAGCCCAAAGGAAACGTCTCAATATTCGTCAGATTTTGCAAAAGTCAACACCAGTGAAACATAAATCAATTACAACATTTAACAGCTTGAGAAGCGACATTCTTAGCGAGCTACAAAATATAGAAAAAGTGAACGGCGTCAAATGGAAGAGATTCCCAATCCTAAACAAACTTCTTAAAGGCCACCGGAAAGGAGAACTGACAATTATAACAGGACCTACCGGAAGTGGTAAAACAACATTTATGAGTGAATATTCATTGGATTTGGCGCTGCAAGGTGTG